TTTATCCTCTAAAAATTTGGTCCAGTAACATTTGGCGCTAAAACCAATAGTTTTGGCGCAAGAGAGGAATTTAGGAGGAAAAACGTGCAAATTTTGGGAATTTTTTCAGTTTTTCGGCCATTTTGGGGTGAAATTTTTGCGGCCTTTTGGCGACCTTTAGATATTCGGATTCTGCTGATTTTTCTGCGTTTTTTGATGTATAAAAACCTTTTCTTGCAATTTTGTCCGGGTCCAACCAAATCTCGCCCCGACTAAAGATTCCACTTTTGGCTTAGTAGAGAGAATTTGTGTGTCTGCGACATACTGCAATATCCACATGGTTGAAGACGCATACTTGACGACGACCTTGCCGAGAGATCCGTTGTGCGTCACCTTCCTCACCACGTGTCCAACGTCTCCGCCGTCGAACCCCCCCCCCCCCCCCCCTCCGGGAACCGCATACCAACATAGCTCCTCTCTTCCCCACCGCCTTCGAATGTTGACCGGACCCCGTCGCTCGAGTAAAGTTGATTTCTAATTTACATGAATCGAACCGAGGATGCAGCATCCCCCCCCCCTCTTTCCGCTACCGATACCTCGCTCACACGAGGACTTTCATGTTGAGGACTTTAATGAATATGCGTCCCGGGGCCCTCCCCGGGAGTTTCGGGGTTAGGAGGGGGGTGGGGATGCAGGGAGATGCCTATCGAAGAAGAAGCGCACATGTGCACCCTGCGTCCCCACACGTGGTGGCCACCGTAAAGTCCTGGCGTGCACTCGCGGCCGTCTCTCTTCGACCCCTCTGCTCTAGAACCCCCCCCCCCCCTACCGCAACCCTCCCGCGCCTACGCTGAATAAGTGGAGCAGGACCGATTCCACACTTGTTTTCTCTTCACGCCTCGTAATTTGTCTCGAACGGGTTTGGGAGAGTCGCTTTGTCCCGCAGTGGATCGAGTCATCGGGATAGGTCGGACATGGATTTTTTTCACTATACAGGGTGTCCCAGTATTAAGCACGAATGTTGAAGGAGTCGATTCTTCGGGTGAAAAAAAGACGTTTTCGTGGAGCAACTTTTTTCCCAAAAACGCTTTCCTTGGGGCGTTCTTCCGCTCTTCTCTTCTCTAAAACTCGCTCTTCCTAACACTGTGACAATGTTTATCCGTCAACATTAATGAAACTTTGTAAATAAGGGTAATTTTTAGCGCTTTTTCATTTTTAACCTCCGAGGAAGGGAAAACGCATTTTAAGGGGGGAATTTTTTCTTGTCGATGTTTTTAAGAGTCCGGACTCTAGATCCAATGTGTTTTTTTTCCCCAGTGAACTTCGTGCCTTGTCTAGTGGTCCATTGCCAAATCATTGGATCCGCTCCCCGTCCAGTGGCGTGGCGTGCTTTGCGATACATCGATTGATATGTCATTTAAACCTATGGTAAAGAATCGATTATTAAGGTGTTCGCTGCGAACACCATGTCTATCGATCCTTTTCCATAGGTTTAAATGGCATAACAATCGATATATCGCAAGGCACGCCACGCCACTGTCCCCGTCCCATCCGCGTTTTTATTTGGACGTATTTATGCTAAAAGGAACTATGTGCATAGGGGTTGCGTGAGACATAGTTCCTTTTAGCATAAATATGTTCATTTGTTTCCCCGCTCCTTGGCCTGTACTTGCCATCTCGCCTCGTCCATAGCCGCGCCAACAAAAATCAGCCGCAACCAATCGCCGTGCATGTTTTTTCCCCCCAAGTTGGGCCTTGTCTCCACGAGCCGTTTCACGAGATTTGTCCCAGGGAAAAATCCCACTTACGAAGTTGGGAAAAATATTGAGTTAATCAATATTTTTCCCAGTACCAAGTATGGTACTTGTACCCCTAGGACCCACTGAGAGAAGAAGAAGAAGTGAAAACGAATTGTGCGATATTTTATTCATTACTACATTGTTAATGTTTGTTTAGTTGAAATAATGTGTCTAATTGTCAATTGAGTGCAATTATTATTTTAATACCGGTTAAATACTCGACTTTAACCAATTTATCTTCCCGCGAAAACTAGTCGCAGGACTGTATGAGCCCCGTCCCGTGGAGACGGTAACTGGGAAAAATCCCAGAAGTTTCATTCCTGCCATTCGAACTCGGGACAAATCCCATGAAAACGTCCCGTGGAGAGGCCTTACCCCATCACGTCAAATCACGTCAAAGAGCATTTTATTTTCCGCGGGTAATCCCTGTTGTGCGGCCCACAATGCCGTGCGAAGGAAGAACGCCGTATGAGCCTTCAGGCGTTGCAAACTTTCCTTCGATAAAACACGGATTGCCTGGTGAACTTATGAATAGTTTTCTTCCAGTTTTCCAGAAAATTTGGTTCGTATTTTGATCTGAAGTTCCTGAAAGTCTCAAGGAGAAATGGACGTATTTCTACCAAACAGACCTATGTGGAGGTGAGAAATATGGGGTGTGCCCGTCAGTTCTCTGGCCGTAAGAGTGAGTGAGAATAATGAAGCGCCAGTGACGTCAACGGAAATGGTCGTCGATGCTGCTGCTCGAGCTCCTCGTAGTGTGCTGTAACTCATGAGCCCTGTCCACAACGCTCTCGTCCCATCATCGCGGCTCATGAATCCCGCATTCAGTTGGCACATAGGTCTGTTTGTTAGAATGTAATATCCCGCTTTTCCAATTCTTCAAAAGGAATCACGCACACTTTTACATTGCTTTTTATGCAGCTTCAGCGAGCACACCCCATCTTTCTCACCTCCACATAGGTCTGTTTGGTAGAACTACGTCCAAATATTCATAGCTTTCCTAAAAAGTATACACTTTATCAAAGGAAATTTAACAACAAATCGTCACCTTCCAGGCAAAGTATTACAAGCGCCATGCGACGTTTAAAAATTTCCGCCGCCATTTTATTTTTTTACAGAGAAATTGTTCAACGAAGCTGTCCGAAAATTTCACTGAATTTTCTTTGTGCTGCCGATAAAATTTAGTGAAATTTCCAAACAGATTCAACCAACAATTTCTCAGTAAAGAAATAAAATGGCGGCGGAAATTTTTAATCGTCGCATGGCGCTTGTGATACTTTGCCTGGAAGGTGACGAAATGTTCCTACGGCGTTCACGGAAAAAATAGGTTAGTCGACACAACCAGCGGCTAGTTAAGAATGCGCTAGCTACCGTGCGGTAGTTACGATAACTACCGCGGTGGAGGTCACAACTAACCCGGTAGTTACATCAAAAAACCGTGGATGTGAATGTAACTACCGGGTCGTATCACGGTTTCCTTTCTTAACACAGCAGCATATTAGGGCATGCTCTCAATCGAACTTACTTTGTATTAATTCGTAATAAAAAATGTCTCTGTTGCAGATTACAAAAATGTATAGAGGATTCGAGGGAAAAATGCATCGCACTAGGGAGGAAAAAGAAAAATATTTAAGAGAAATTTCGTTGTCGTTTTCTAAAATGTTTAAGTTTGCGGAGGCTACCTTGGAGGCAGCCTCCGAAAGAAAAGAGACAGAAAAGGAAGGAAAAAAGAAATATTGTAAAGAAAAAACAGAAAGGAAACCAACTGTGAGTCATAGGTATTGTGCCTCTTCGATTTCCATTTTTCCGCATCTAACTTTATTATGTTTCACGAACTGGTTTCTTCTTTCACTGTCTCGATTTTTCGATCTTCTCCTCCTTCTCAAACTTATTGACCTTGTATTTTTTCGTTCAAAAATTGCATCGAAACTGTAATGAAACTGTAATCGACGCACGAGATACCTCCGAATCTGAAGTCGATACACGCAGCACCTACCAGTGGCGCGGCGTAGCTAGGAATTCTTTAAGAGGGGGGGGGGGGTTCATTAAAAAACGCGACGGTAAATTTAAATTATTTTGTGCACGTCCCTGATAATATATTATGTCTGTCCTCCAAAAGTAAAAAAAGGTACAATTAACGAGGCTAAGGGGAGGGGGGTCCAGACTCCTTGGACCCCTCCCCCTCTTGTCCAGGCCCGCCACATCCCATCTCGGGCCCTGGTACCAGTTTTATGGCCCGGGCCCTTAGCACAGAGGGGGGTCCGGGGTAGGGCTGTTCTATCGGTTGTCGATAAGCTACCGAAGCAGCTCCGTTAAGAAAAAGTTACAATAGCGCTCATGCCGAGAGCGATCAGAGTTTTCGGAGCTGACGAAAATGAGCTGTTGCCATTTGTACATCTATTTTACGCGCCATGTCAGTACTGCGCCAGTTTCAATAAGAGACGATATCGAAAGTGTTCCGGCAAGAATTCGTTTGAACACCCCTAGTCCGGGGGGCCTCCCCCGGGAAATTTTTGAAATTTTACATCTATTTGGACGAATTTTGAAGCTTTTATGATGGAGATTTCCCATCAATTTCTGCAGAATAATTACGCCTTTTTTTTACTTTCAGCACCAAATACTTTCGAATTGTTGCATTCAAAACATCTATAATTTTTTTTTTTGAGGGGGGCAGATGATACTTTTCAATTCTAGGGGGAGCCGGGCCCCCCTGGATTCCCCTTTCGTACGTCTATGGCAAGGGAGTTGAGCCATTGAAGTCGAGGATGCCCAGACAGGAGCCTCTTGGCATCCGACAACGGAAGAAAATGAAACGCAGTTACTAAAAATATCATTCTACATATACTCAAAATCTTGAAAATAGATAGAAATCTCTAAAAAAGAAAGAAAAATTTTATATTGCCCTAGCGTGTTTTTGAAACTGTATTTACCTGTTGCGGAATTTTTAATTTGTTGCGGTAATTTTTTCACTTTTCCTTACGTGACAAGGGTTACCCATGAATTCGTAGTGGCTTGTCATACCTGCGTCACGGGCCCCGGTACCATGGACCCAGTATCCCCCCCCCCCCCCCCNTTGTGACGGGCCTGCTCTTGTTTACGCCACTGCGGTACCTTCATTCAATTTGAAGTCAGTTCATTTGAGCAGTGCTCCCAATTCACGGAACTAGTTCCGAATTTCGGAACATTTGAGAAATTCCTGAATTTTACCCGGGAATTTTGAAATTCCCGAAATGTTCCAGATCTTTTGCATTGTCCGGAACTTTCTTGGAACTTTTGAAAAAACCTGAAGAGAATCCCGGAACTTTTGACGGTTAGGAGTGGGAGCAATAGACCACTAGACAAGGTACGAATTTAACCAATCTGATACATGTTTTTTAATCAAAATTTCACGTAGAGCACGATTCGCGCAACGAAAACTAATGAAAACAACTCCAAACGAAGATATTAACGTTTTTATTTCACATTGGTTAAGAGGAATTTAAACCACCCGCTCGCAAGAAACTGGAAGCTCTACGTGAGTGAAATCGCGCACTACAGCGGTTTCAGCAAGCTTCTCAATCGAGCAATGTTCATTTCCCACCATGTGCTTTTCAAACTATAAGTAATTTGCTATAGCTGAGCCAAAGTGTCAAGATTGAGGTTGCCATATTTTTTTATCGCAGAGACGTTCATGATAATGTCTAGCGCGCGATGTGAATCACATAGAGCATTGAGTTTTCATGAGCGGGTGGTTTGAATTTCCGCATCAAGAATCATTGAATATCTTCGGAAGGAGTTGATTTCGGTCATTTTCGTTGTACGTATCGTGTTATACGTGAAATTTTGGTTACGAAACATGTATCAGAATGCTGAAATTCGTACCTTGTCTAATGGTCCATTTCGGAACATTTGAGATTTTCCTGAATTTTATCCGGAAATTTTGAAATTCCCGAAATGTTTCAGAACTTTCTTGAAACTTTTGAAAAATTCTAAAGAGAATCCCAGAACTTTTGACGGTCAGGAGTGGGAGAAATTGGAATAAAAATTTCTGAATCCCGGAACTTTTGGCGGCCGCGGAATAGGAGCACTGCATTTGAGTCAATTTGAAGGGGAAGGGGCTAAGACTTACAAAAGAGACGTTTCTCGACTTTCTTCATAAGGTTATTAAACTTGAGTCGGACGAAATTTATCGGATCAATTTTTTTTTTTTTTTTTTTTTTTTTTTTTTTTTTTTTTTTTTTTTTTTTTTTTTTTTTTTTTTTNTTTTTTTTTTTTTTTTTTTTTAGTAGTATTGAGTAAGTCGATTCTGTGGGTCCCAAAACGACGTTTTTTAGGTATAAATTTTTTTCTTCTAATAACACTTTCTCTTGGGGCCACCCCGCACCCCCTTTCGCGTCCACCTAAGCGCGATTTTATTCAACAAGTGATCAAAACAGCTTACAATGTTATATTCAATTGCGTTAAATACCTCTAACTTCCTCAAGGCCGAACTCGGCACAGTTATTTAATGAGAATTGCTTCTGCTCATGTCTGCGCCGCGATAATTTCAAGGCGAAAATAAAATCGGAAAAAATGATGGCGAGATAGGCGGCGAACTCCCCCTCTTTCCAGCAGTGGCGCGGCATGGTTTGCGATATATCGATTGCTCTGCCATTTAAACCTATGGAAAAGGATCGATGAATAGGGAGTTCGCAACGAACACCTCCATAATCGATTCTTCACTATAGCTATAAATGGGGAAATATCGATAATAATTGATCATCATTTACGCCTCGCCTCTGACCTCTCGCCTTTTTGAGAGCTTTTGTTGAGCTTGGGAGTTGATTTCAGAGAAAACCAGTAGCACCACCGTGTTTCTCGCGAACTTGTACATTTGAATCAACAGTCAAATCGCAAATTCCTCACACATGCAACATCTCCATTCACGTCTCACCATTACTGGTGGTTAGCATTGGCGGATCCTGCGATTTGGCAACACTGAATTTTCTCCATTTAAACCTATGGAAACGAATCGATTCTTAGAGGAGCCAGGTACTCCGACAAGAATCGATTATTTAGCACGGGTTTAAATGGAGGAAATTCGGTGTTGCCAAACTGCTGGATCCGCCTCTGGGTTAGAGATCGAAGAGCGCAAAAGAGCGACTCTTTATTGCGTAAATGTTCATCCTTAATTTTTAACTCCTCCCTTCTTCCCTTCACTTGTTCTTCTCTTCCGCATTACGGGGTGATCCAGGGTTAAACGGCCGGACTTCAGGAGCGTAATCTATGGGTCAGACTAAGACTTTTTTCTCGCGTAAAGTTTTTTCCAAAAGTGCCCCCCTCGGAGTTACGCTCCCCCCCCCNCCCCCCCCCCCCAAAAAAAAAAATCTGAAAGTAAATCGTTTTTCTTGAATTTTGGCAACGGTTGTGAACCAGATCTCATAAAAATTTGTACTTTATGCACTGAATTCATAATAAACGATCTAAAAAATCGAAATCTCAAGCTAAGAAGGGGGTTTGGGGGTGTTTCGGCTTCTGCAGTCCGGTCGTTTAACCCTGGATCGCCCTGTGTATCCTCGAATACTTTGCTTTACGTTTTAAATGGTTCCTTTTCTGTTCACAGGTCCAATGGCCTGCCTAAACTGTAAGAGCAGAACACAACTTATAAAAGTAAACCGGCACCTCCTGTGCCCAAAATGTGTGTCGGCGTTCAAAAAGTCTACCAAAGCCTACCATCTCACCGACTGCGACCCGAGAAAAGGCACAGGTCGCAGTCGGTTCAACGCCGAGATACTGGAGCACGTTTTGCCGACTCTCGGCACTTTCTGCGGTGCCGAACAAATCTCCGCAGCTTTGAACAAGCACAGCTACAAGTTCGCGGGCCGGGTCGAAACCGAGCGGAGGGTGGCTCACGTGCACAAATATTTTCATGGTCAGTTCGACGAAAAGCACAGGAGGCATACCCAGCGTATCGCTAGATTCCTGCCGGAGGACATAACGCCTGATCACCTACTGAACATAGCCATCAGCTGCCTCCGGCTCGAAGGCCTCTTCATGGAGGCTGATTGAATCAGCTGATTCTATAACTCGACATGATTATTTAATCGACATTGCAGACCGGGCGGCCAATCTTGCCTAGCGGCTGATTGGTCCCCGGTCAAATATTATTAATTTTTTTTTTTTTTTTTTTTTTTTTTTTTTTTTTTTTGGGGGTATCTCATTTTTAGTAAATTTGGAATACAACTTTGGAACGTTTTCAGACAGTATGAACGCCCGAAAACAGGAAGATAATTTGAGCTTTATCTCCTGTTCCAAAGATCGTAAAAATGGATCAGTTGACTGATGTGTATATATTTCCGCGAAACAATATTTTCATCGAATTTATGTGTATTCGTGGCGTAACATCTATGAGTATATTGGTGTGTCGCGGTTAATTTTTTTCCGCTTCTTGAAAAAATGCATCCCAAAATTTTAGCATATATTTTTTAAAGCTTTCAGGATTCTTTGTTTCAAGGGAAACCCTACTTAAGAGACTCATAATTTGGATTTCTTTTCCACTTTTTCGTTCGTAGATCGTAACATTTTCATTCAGAATAACATAATGATAAAAATGCCCCCTCGGAAAGTTGTAACACTAACTTTTTCATGAGAATAAACCATAAGCTAGGGGGAAGTTGTTATAACAATAACAAAAAGAAGAAAAAAAAGGGACAAAAAAGGCTCCCACGGCCGGAGTTTCTTTCCAGTGCATACACTCATCCTCGAACTTGGGCTGGGAAGTCTAAGTTCGAGAATAGCATCCCGTTGGTGAACTCGGAGCAGGCGAAATTGATGGCGCTAATAGCCACGAGATTGTCCCAGGTGCCAGCTATGAAACAGCCCTCCCTCTCCCCTGAGGAAAGGGCTCCTTAGGGCCACGGCTTAAAAAATAAATATAACTCACACGCGTTTGCCGTAACCTCCCGTCCTACAAAAATATACACATAAGAAAAACAGAAAGAATGTAGTCATTAATAAACAAGAAAAGTAAAATTATAATCGTAAGGAAAGAGAAATTGATGTCATGGGTTCAGAGTTATCTCTTGCAAGGGCACACCCCTTGCATCGTTTACCGCGTCTCTTATTTGCTTGTATTTGCGGCGATTATTCAAATGCATGTAAACAGTAATTTTTGTTGTGGTGAGGACTGCAAAATTCGGCGCAAAGAGGATACGATGCAACCAGGTGTCTTCCTCGAATGATGTTTGCTCAATTTTTATTTTGGGTACATTTTCTTTGAGCTCTTGTATTTTAATTCCCTGCTGTTCCGTGGTATGTGGGTTTTGAAACTTAGTGAAAATTTTCTTAATTCTTCATTTTTTGTGGTGAGTTTTGAATCTCACGGAAATTATTTTATCAGATGTTGATGCTAAATCTTCCATATTGACGGTTATATAGGCAAGAGAGTCTTTGTCTTCCCCTGTTAAGAAGGATTCCATTGCATCCAATTAGAATGTCTCACCCACCAAGCCACAACCGAATGGCAAGTGAACCACCTCGCTTCCAAACAGTGTGATTGACTCACCAATGTCGTCGGCTTGGTGGTTTAGACACTGAAAGTGGCCAGGGTTGGAGATGGTGCGCTGTAAATCTAACTACTTGAAGTTTAAGTTCTATAAAAAATGGGATTTTTAAAACTTGTCATTACTCTCCTATCACAAAGGCTGTTAGCCTCCCTGGACAAGTTGTTAGGAAGTGCATGTAAACATGAATTTTTCTGAAATTTGCGAATTGCTACAGTAGGAGGGCATAGAGTGATCACATTCTTTTACAATGTAAAATATCGTCTAACTTTAACTTGATGTAAATTAGTCAATTTTGGCCGATTGCCAGATACTCGTGGGGAGGCGCTTTGTATGTATACATTATTATTCTTATCCCCAACGGCGAGGGGAAGGTTTTCCCGAGAAGGGAAAATTAGGCACTGAAAAATTGTCCTCTTTGAAGGGGTAAATATCTAATTCAATTAGACAAAATTGTTGATGACAACTGTAACGCTTTGAGGGTCTTTATGAGCAACAGGGAATGGTAGGAACACAACCACGTTGGTACAACGCCCATTTTCGTTAAATCGTTCAGTGTGTTAAGACAATATTTACAATTATACGGGTTCGGACACGCACTGAAACGTCCGTTTGAGTGGTGTGAAAACCATAAAAGGGATGTGATTTTACTGAAGTTGGGATCGAAAGTAATATTTTCACCAGGAACAAGGGTGTGAGCTGTATTTGGAGAACATACCTACAGTTCGCTTTTTAGCTTCAGTTGTTAGGGAACGTCTGAACGTTGTCACACATAACTCCTCAAATTCATAGAATCTTTGAAATTCTTGCTGTTCAATTTCAAGGAGGGAATCTTCGTATTCCTTTTTGGCCTTTTCCCAATCATAGAGTCCAATAGGACCATCTTCGGGGGCTAATAATAAGAATCATTAGAATATAATTAGGAACATAATCTTATAATATAAGAATTAATAATCAGCTATTCTTATCTGCTGGGAAGGGAATAGGTATAACTTTAAAAAGATCGAAAAACCGATCCGTTGTTTTCAAGGGAACTTTAATCAAAATTTGCAGTCTTGAAGTCTCAATGGCTGAACGTTTTGTTACGAGAGAATAATACTTACGCATGAATGCATCCATCATTGGAAAAATCATTTGGTATTTTGCTGGTGAAATATGTTGCACAGCCTCCAGCGCATTCATAAATTTTGTACGTGTAAGGAAATCTTCTGGAAGTTGTTTTGCAGCGATAAGCTGTAAAGCTGTTTTTAACTCTGACAGTGAATCTGTTAGAAGCGAAGTTTGGAATTGAATACGTTTAGAAAAGTTTATGATATTTACAAGTTTTTTTACTCAAATTCTTCAATTTCATTAACGTCATTGGAAATTTCTCTATATTCCTTAGCTATATCGATTGTAATATTTTGTATATTGTCAATGTTAATTGCATTTATATATATATGAGTCGCTTTTATAGCGACTCATTTACGTTTACGAATACGTTTAGAAAAGTTTATGATATTTACAAGTTTTTTTACTCAAATTCTTCAATTTCATTAACGTCATTGGAAATTTCTCTATATTCCTTAGCTATATCGATTGTAATATTTTGTATATTGTCAATGTTAATTGCATTTTCGTTTTCTAAATCGTGCAAGTTATATGAAATGACTATTTCATCTTGGTGTCGCTTGACACTGACCTTGTCTCAAGGCCAATGCCAAGGCGTAGTTATCACCGCACGTGTCATTTTTTTGTCAACGTCGCGCCGTTGTCTTAGTCCCTATAAAACGGGACTACGACGCTCCGTTCTTTGTGATTCATTCTCAGCTTCAGTCCGGTCTGGGTCTCCCGATCTTTTGATTGTCATTACAGAATAAAGTGAATAAACTCATACCAAGTTTATTCCGTGCTTGTGTTTTCCCTACCTTTCATCACGGTAGTCCCATCTACCAATAGTTGCATGAATGCATCCATTATTGGAAAAATCATTTGGTATTTTGCTGGTGAAATATGTTGCACAGCCTCCAGCGCATTCATAAATTTTGTACGTGTAAGGAAAACTTCTGCATGGAAGTTGTTTTGCAGCGATAAGCTGTAAAGCTGTTTTTAACTCTGACAGTGAATCTGTTAGAAGCGAAGGTTGGAATTGAATATGTCTAGGAAAGTTTATGATATTTACAAGTTTTTTTTTACACAAATTCTTAAATTTCATTAACGTCATTGGAAATTTCTCATATTCCTTAGCAATATCCATTGTAATATTTTGTATATTGTCAATGCTAATTGCATTTTCGTTTTCTAAATCGTGCATGGATTTAACAAAAGCAATTTGCTCTTCTAAATTATGTTTAAGACCCTCTTCATTTGTTTGTAAGGCAAGTCGATAAATGTTATGCAATAAGTAGCGCTGGCAAAGATGGTAGGATATCCTTCCATCCACAGTTTACTAAGTTGCGTCCTTCCTTCTTCAAGTTCTTCAGTTGAATTTTTATGCCACGCATCATAATTAATTTTGAGGCCTGCACAGGATTCCTGAATGTTGTAAAAAGCTCTAGCTGTGCATCTTGCTTGCACGAGGTCATTGAAAAACTTATTTAAGGAAACGTAGGCCTTTTCTTATGATTCATCTTTCAACTTCCTCACAAACACCATGCCTCACTCTTTTTAGAAGACCCTCTGCAGATGTGGCGGCAGAATAATGCAAATTTCAAATGCTCTGCGGTCGCATGATTTGACCTCTCCGCTAAATATTCATAGCTTTGATCATGGAAATGTTTTCCCTTACTATAATTATTCACTAGTTGCATCGTCGTATTTCCGATTTATATTCTTATAAATAATGTATTGTATGAATGTGACCTAAATTAAAGTATGTTTAAAACAAATGTTCTCGTTAATTTTACAGAATCCCTTGATTGCAAACAAAACCTACGAAAAGCTGAAGACACATGTCGATCGCCTGAGTGCAAAATCATGCATATCCTTTGCGAGATTTCAGTATTTCAGCTTCTATTTTATTTTTTCGAAGAGAAACAAGCCAAATTTATGACTTGAAATTTATACAGAATATCTTACCAACAGAGAAGCGAAATTTAGAAAGCCTTAAAGAAATTACGTTGACAAGTTTAGGAAATATGAGGTTTCGCACTTCGGCCATCAAGATGTCGCAGGCAAGCAGTCGAATCAGGCATTTTGTCAAATGCCCTAGCGGAAACTCAACTCTACTTCTTTTGTTAATTTTAGACGAAATACTTATTAGCTCATCTAAGAGATAAAGTTCTGTAACAACTGGCATTATATGCAAGAGTAAGAAGTTTAATTTCTCAGGATTTTCAGTATGCCATGTGATACAGAATTTTTAAAAAGTTGACGGTTATAATAAGTGAGGAACATTTGGAATATATTTCGCAAATTGGAACTATAAATTCTAGCCAATTTAAAAACAACGAATGTGCCATTAAATTCCTTACGCACATAAGTGTTTTTCTAGAAGAGCCAGAAGTTATAGTTCCAAATTGAAAGATTCACCATTTGGAGATGAGATAGAGGATTGGAAAAGAGAAGTTCGTATATTTGATGAATTCTT